CGTCGTTGCGACTCTGGGGAGCCCCCGCCGCCCGCCGGGGTCCGCCCGCCCCCGCGCCGCCTGGGTTTGCGGAAGGCTGTCCCCGTGTCCGCGACTACGTCCCTCCTCGCCGCTGCGCGGTTGCGGCGCTCGGTTGCGCGCCCAGGCCGTGCTTCGGTGCGGGGGCGTGTCCCCCTTGGGGGTGGGAGCCCTGGCGTACAGGTGGCGGTGGGCTTGGGCCATCTCGGCGTGTGACCTGCCCGGGAGCACAGCGTACCCGCGGCGCGACCCGTCCCGCGGCCTCTCCCTGGCGCTCGCGCTCGGAGCGACTCGGGAGCCCGCCGTCCTGTGTGGCTCGTGGAGGAAGCCCGCGGGAAGCAGGTTGTCGCAGGGTGCGGGGAGGACGAGAGGGGCACCCTCCCACCGTGGCCCGCACCCTCGTGTCCGGGAAACCAGCGCTGGTCGCCATGGCAAACCCCTGGTTTGAAAGCTGGTTACCGCCAGAATAGATGTCACTCGTACACTTCTCCCAAACGTTAGTCCGTGGGACAGCTCGCGGGAGATCTTAATGCACAGGGTGGAACAGGCCCAGCTCGCCAGCTGGTGGGCACGCCTATCTAGGCATGTGCCCTGCTCCCGGCACCGGGCCACCACGTGTGATAAAAAGGACGTGAGTGGAATGGGGCTGCATTAACCTGGCCTTGGGGCTGTCTCTGTTTCCTGTTCACTGGCTTGGAGAGAAAAGTCCACTTCCCACACTTCAGCTGTCCCAGCTGGGCGTCCCACAGAGAGCCAGCCTCCTCGCCAGCTGCACTCACGGCTCTCCTCGCTGCTCCCAGGCACCCAGCTGGGTCTGCGCCCGGCCGCTGGCACCCAGTTTCCTCTTCACTGGGTAAAAAATGAAGTTATGCCAGAACAGGATCTCTGCACACCTTGTATGTCACCGCAGGGAAAACATTTGTTCTGCTTCCTTCCACATTTAACTTCTGGTGCGGCGCAGCGCTCACAGTCTCGTCATTCCAGGAAAGCGTGGACAGAAAATGCCAGGTGCTGGAAGGCAGGGCCGTGTGGCGTGGCAGTGCGCTCCTGTGGGTCTGAAACGCTCGGGACAGCGCATCTGGTTGTAGCTCCTGTGATGCTCGTTACTGGGGTCTTGTGTTGCTTGAGTTTTTTACACAATATCTTTTCCTGAGCCCCACGCTTTTAATCTACAACGGGGACAGCTGGCAGGTAGACTTGCAGTATGTCTGAAGCTTACCTTCAAGAGAAGGATCAGAAGGGGAGACCCCAATTAATGTGCAATCCACCCAAATAATGACAGGTATCTAGGCAGCCTAGCTCAGCCAGGGCCCAGGAAAGGACGGATGTGTTGAGCGCTCTGGCCGTAACGTGACGCCAAATGACAGTGACTGGCCCGCGAGCCCTCATGGGCTTTCCTCAGTGTGTGCCGCCTCCCGCCAAGCCCAGTTCTGAATCTCTCATTAGTGTCCTGTGCTGACCCATTCAAGACCCTGCCCAAGTGAGGCCCACGGAGGGCCCCGAATCTGCACAAGGATCTGACGTCCCCACACCGAGGCTGGGTGCAGCAGACCGGGACAGAAGCACAGGCAAGCAGGTTCATGGCGCAGCCTAGCTCCAGCCTTCTTGGCGCGATGCTTGCCAAACCCTAAGTGTTTACCGATGTAGCCACACGTCATGATGTGCAACTAGCTGAACTTCTTCAGACAGGAAGTCTGCCCCAGGCCACGTGCGGTCCAGGAGTCTGACGCTGCTCCGGGGTCATTTTGTCACCTCGAGATAAGGAAACATATAAGCGCTGTGGGAATAGGAAGTCCAAGAGATACATGATTAAAAGATTGGGTTGTTGGCTCAGGAGATTCTTATTTTTGGAGGGATGTTTGGGGCAATGAATACAACCGCAGAGGAAAGCAACACATCTCTTAGTGATGAAAAAAGATTTGTAACCTGAACGGGGAAAGGCTGTCATCTAGTTACACATGTGTAGCAAATACACGGAAGACAGAGAAGCTGCTGGGTTGCGTTCCAGGACGTCTCCTGCCCCACCTGGCCTCAGGTGTGGCTCCAGCTTCACTTCTCCCGTGCTCCCAGGTACACATGGTCCCCCAGCCTCGAGTTCTGAAAAGCAGATTGTCTGGTCCTCCTTGGCGATGGAAAGGTAGCCAGCTGCAGGCGCAAATAAATGTGGGCTCCTTCCCATAACCGCCGTCAGAGGAGAGGGGCTGGGGTGATGTGTCACGTCCCCAAGGCCCAGTGCAGCACCCCGGGAGGGCTGCAGCCTGTGAGTGCTACTTTCTCTTCCAGGGGGCACTTCCATGGCCGTATCCTGCTGCTGTGTCCTGTGTCCTCGGCAGCCACAGACCCAGGCCTCTGCAGGACAACGCCCGAGGCCAGCTCTCCGCTCCTGCTTTTTGCTCCTGTTAACCCCGTTCCCCTTTCCTACAAGTTCTGCATAGCGATTCCACCTCTAAGCGGAAGGGATGTTCACTAACAGGCTTACAGAGGTGCTCAGAATGGAGCACTGGCTCTGGCAGCCCTGTGCGGGTCCCGGCACCCTCGGTGTGGGCCACCTGCCCCCCATCAGGCCAGCAGGGCCAGGGAAGGGAATGCCCTCGCTCTGAATGCTTAGGCTCAGCATGAACAAATATGAGGTTCGCAGAGCTTAGGAAAGTCAGCGGTGGCTATGTCACTGCCCCCAAAAAGCGAGAAGTTTATTTTCTTTGGAGAAAACAAAATTTTTTTTTCTCTGTCTTGTGACCAAGGCCATGGTCAGGGTGATGTGAGGCCATCCTGCCTGCAGTCGCCAAGGATGGGCCGAGGCTTCTTGCTCTAAGCCAGGGTGTTCCTGTGGGGGGAGGTCCCAGCTCCACTCTCTAGGCTACAGGGGCCTGGCTGCTCCTGTGGCACCAGGAGGAGCATCAGTGGATGCCCATAGGTGGGACTTTATGCCACGCGCAGGGGCCTGAGCTGGACCTGCGTGTTGTGGTGCCTCCAAGGTGGCGGAGTAGCCCTGGCAGGTGTCCCCCAGGGGCATGGCTGCTGGCCCCAGAATCCTTAACCTCCTGCCAGCTCTCGTCAGTCCTTCTGCAGATGCTGCTGTACCTCAGTGGGGCATACTGCGCTCTCTACTTCCTGGCTACCCTCCTGATGATCATGTACAAAAGTAAGTCAGGGACAGAAAGACAAGACGAGGCTGTCACTGCTGCCACCGTAACCTGAGCTCTGGTCTCTTGCCTGCAGGTCAGGTTTTCAGTTATCCTCATAGTCACCTGGTCCTCGACCTAACCCTGCTGTTTCTGCTGGGGATTCTGGAAGCAACTCGCTTGTACTTCGGTGAGTCGACTGGCTGACGACCTTAAGGTCCTCACGATAACAGCATCGTGAACCTCTAAACGTGCATCTCAGCGCGGCTCCTGGAGACACATGGGAGCTAGCTGCTTCACCAGCTGCCTTGAGGCCTCACCTTACAGCGTCATTACGTATTAATCAGTCTGCTGAGAGCTGTCCTGGAGACGGCGGCCGGGGCACAGCCTGGGACAGGCGCTGCCTGCTGCGAAGCAGTCTCGCACGAGCCGCTGGGGAGCTCAGCATTGCAGTTGGAGCAGGCATGCTCACCTCACCCCTGCTCCCCCTTCCGTTGGCTAGCAGTCTGGAGGAGGGTCTGGAAAATTCCATCATGTTCCCTTCAGGACAGTGGAGACCGGATGGGTGGGAGTCGTCCCCCCACCACCCCACACAGGCACCCCAGCAGTGCAGAAGCACCACTTGATCTTGGCCCTCTGCACTCCCCAGAACTCACTGTGAGGGGTCCGGGCTTCCAGCTGTCTGCCTTCTGCGTTTACTGTCGCAGGCACACGTGTAACGTCACTGTGACCACACTGCGTGTGCCCCACCTCTGCCGGCATCTAGGACTTCTGACGTCCCCCAGTCCCATGGGCAGAGAGGGGACTGAGGTGTAGAGGGAAGCCAGGCCCTGCCCGGGGTCTTGTCACCAGGGTGGACAGGAGCAAGTCTCAGTCGTTCTGTGGAGTGCGTGCTGGGCCTTGGTGTCTGCTGTCACGGACCAGGGCCCGTGTGCATGGCGGGCGGCAAACGGTGCTGGAACTGCGCATCAGCCCTCCCCCCAGCCCCCTACTGCAGATACCGGGCACCTGGGCACGTGTGGTCACCTGGCCGCGGCTGGGGATCAGCGCTTTGCATAGCTGACCCATCTGTGTGTGAAACACGGGATTGTTTCTCTAAGTAAGCATTCAGGTCTTCAGACTGGCCTTTGCCTGGGATAAATGTCTGGAGATTTTAAACAGAGTTCTCTCAGTACCCTTGGATTAGGAGGAAGCATCAGGATACACCAGGATGGGTTTTCAGAAGCCAGAGCCCATGTCCCACCACACAGCCGACCCAGAGGCTGGGGTGGCAGCCCACACCCAAGGCTGGTCTCCCCCACCGAGCAACACGGGGCTCGTTTGTGTTCTGCTTCCTGACACTGAGTCTGGGGCGCTAGTCTTTCAGCCCTCGGGGACCGTGCTGCTGGTGTGCTGGCTTCTGTCCTGCCACCTCCCCCCTCCCAGGCACACAGGCGGTGGGTCTGGAATGGGTGGCCCACAGCCTGGCACTCACCATGTGTGTTCTCTCCAGGCACCAAGGGCAACCTGGTGGAGGCCGAGGTGCTGCTGGCCACCAGCCTGGTCCTCACAGCGGCCAGCACCCTTCTGTCTGTCTACTTCCTGCTCTGGCAGACCCTGGTGCTCTGGGCAGACTCCGTCCTCAGCGCCATGCTCCTGACGCTCCACAGCCTGGAGGCCATCCTGCAGGTGGCGGCCATCGGTGCCTTCATCAGCTAGACGGGCGATGCCCAGCGCCCACGACAGCCTGGACAGGACTCCTGGAGCCCCGCGGTCCCCCGTCCTCGCACGGAGAGAAGTGCACCTTCCCCCCGTTGGTCGCATGTGAGGGTCGGGTGACCCGAGGGGATTATGAATCGTGTCGGGAACAGTTGCAGGTGTGGTCAGGCTGCCCTGGGCTGTCTCTGTGGGAAGTGGCAGGGACATCTGCTCAGTCTCCCTGATTTGGGCACCCTGACCTAGACAGCCAGCGTGGGAACCAGGCAATCAGGCCCACAAACCTCAGGGGCCAGTGGGCTCCGCCCTGTCACCTCCCAGGAGAAGCAGCTTCCTGGTGTCCATGGCCATCTCCCCAGGGTGTGCCTGGAGCTTGGTGACTGAGGGGCAGGCCAGGGTAGTGGCCCCCTCTCACTGCACACGAGTCTGTGTGCTCCAGGCCACACGTGTCCGCACCGGGGGAGCGGGGAGGGCGTGAGCCAGGGGCCTCGGCCCCAGCCGGCCAGGTCCTGCCTGACGCCATGCTGGGGGGCGGGGGGAGGTAGGCTCCTCAGCCGCCACACGGAGACTGACCCAGGGCTGGTGACAGCCACTTGGGGCTCAGCTGTCGCAGCCTCAGTTGCAGTCTGTGCTGGGTGCTGGGTGCGTTTAGTCCCACTGTGAGCCGACCCTTTCCGATGACACCCTCCCCTCGGCCGCGGTGCACGTGTTCTGTTTGGAGCCGCGCGTCCGGGTGGTCCTAGCTTTTTCCCCGCGTTTTAAATAAAGAAGTGTTCACACCTTTCTGAGCTGACTGAGGTCTCCTGCTTCCCTGGGGACACACGGGTGCACTGCCCTCCAGGCACACACCCAGCCCGCCACCCAGCCCGCCTCATCCAAACACACACACACACACACACACACACACCAACCCCCCCACCCCCACCCCGCCGCAGCCGTGGCTGGCCTTCCCACCTCACGGCTCCCTCTAAGGTCACTCCTTCATGGGGGCATGTAAGACCTTGGGCTTGGGACTGGTGCACCTGGAGGCCCCGTGAAGGTGCCATCCTGCCCACTGGCCAGTGTACAGTCAGCAAGCTCCATACCCCTAACCCTGGGCACTCGCCTGGGGCCCGGCGAGGCTATGGGGACTTGCCTGCTGTCTACAGGGGCGGCGGGACACCTATACCTTCAGGGTTCATGACCTCCCACCCAAGGATCTGGGCGGGGCTGTCAACACACCCATCACTTTGGCCGATGGCCGATGGCCACAGAGAAGTGGAGGTCACCTGTCCACAGGGTGGCCTGGGGGCCACACTGGGATTCCAGGCTCCCTGCTGCTTCCTCATCTGATGGCAGCCCCTGTGATTTCAGAAGCTGCTCTCCCGAGCGCTTCCCGCTTTTTTCCACCAAAGCTCAGCCTCCAGGAAGGGTGTGGGCAGGTGTGCGCCTTTCCTCCTGGGTGCTCAGCAGTGGGTAGAGAACCAGGAAGCCAAGATGGGGCAGGGCTGGGCCCGAGGACGAAGGCCACTTCCTGCACCTTCTGCAAGCTCACCTGTGATGCCCCAGACAGCAGGCTGTGGCTGACCCTGTAGGAGTGTGCCTCCTTGTTCTCAGGGGTTCCCTGGGAAGTGCTCAGTGCCAGCCCCTGGCAAATGCAGGCCACCCGCCCTGCCCTTCTGGGACCACAGCCCTGGGGCTCTTCTGGCACATTCTTCCTCTCCCCCAACCCCAGAGAAAATAGCCAGAGCCTTGAGTCCCTGCACAGGGCTGGGGGTGCCCATCACCTATGTCCTCCCTCTGCCCCTTCTCCACTTTCTCCTTGCCCTCCTGGGTGGGCAGGGAGCTCATAGGACTCAGTTCAGGAGGAAGGGTGCCTGCTGCATGCTGTGGTCCCAAGGAAGAGGGTACTGCCCGGAGACACCCTCCCCCCCGCACCAATTCTCCGCCCTGGCACTCAGGGACAGCCTAGGCCCCAAGTGTCCCCACCCCTCCATTGGACGCCCCCATCCATGCGAGGTGCCCAGGCTAGGCTGGGACGGCACAGAGACGAGGGCTCCCAGACTGTGGAGAAGGGAGGCCCACCCTTAGCCCTTAGCTGCCCACCCCAGGGAAAGGCTGCTGAAGAGGGGAGGGGCTCTGCCCCTATGCCGGCCGGACTGGGCCCCTGCTGGCCAGTTGAGGTTGGGGCCACTTAAAAGGGGCTAGACCCTGACCTCCCCAGGGCAGCATGTCACCCGGACCCAGGCACAGCTCAGCCATCCCAGAAAGGGCTGAGCTTCAACCCGCACGTCCCCGCGGCCGCGGGAGTCTGGCTTTGGGGGTGGGGTCTGCGCTGGAGGCACAGGGTGTTGGGGACCCACCACTGGGAGCCCTGGTGGGGGCGGGGTCTGGAGCAGGGGGCGGGGTGTCCACGTTCCGCCTTCCCCGCCCCCGCGCCTGCGGTGTCCAGGTTCCAACCTGCTGCTCAGGTTCCTCCTGGCGGCTCCGCCCCGGTCCGGTCGGGCCCAGCCCCGCGCGTGTCCCTCCTGCCTGCCGGGGCCCAGAGCCGACAGACGGGCGGACGGACGCCTCGGACAAGGGAACCAGCGGGCGGCGTCGTGGGCCGGAGGAGCAGGTGAGCGTCCGCGAGGTCCCGGACCCAATACGCCCGACGCCACCGGGCGCCCGCCCGCGCTTTGGCTCAGGAGCCACGCGGGAGCTGTGTGCACGGACGATGGGCCGGCCCGGGCCTCAGTTTCCCCAGGCGCCGGTGCGACGCGGGCTCCGGCCAGGCCTGCAGCCCGCCGCGGGGGCGGGAGGCATCGGGACGCGAGGGGACTGCGCCGGGCCCGCAGGCCGTCCCCGGGCTAGTGGCCAGGAACCGGTCCCGCTGCGGCCTGGCCTGCCCCGTCTGGTCCTGGGTGGCGCCGGTGCACGGGGATGTTTTTAAGCCAGTGCACTTGAGTCAGCGGCCCCCTCCCAGTCCTGGGCCTCGGTGGGGTGAACCCCTCCCCCTAATGAAAGGAGTGTGGAGGGGGGTTCTCCCCTGCCCTCGAAGACCCTACAGTCCCATGTCAGGAGCAGGCTGGGCCAGCGGAAGCCAAACTACCCAGGCCAGGCGGGGCTCGGGGCGGGTCAGACGTCAGAAGGCACTTCCTGGGTGTCCTCCAGGAGGAAACCCAAGGCCAGAGAGCATCAGGCGGGGTCAGGCTCCCCGGGTCAGGCTCCTGGTCACAGCAGGGTGTGGGAGTTTCAGGGAGGAGGCGGCGGGGGCGGGGTGCGGCCGATCCTGGGGCCTGTGGCCGCCAAGCGCAGGCCGCCCGCATTCCTCCTCCAAGCCAGGCAGGCCTGTGGCAGCCCCCGTGCAAAAGGGTGTGCCTGGCACCTGGGACGGTGGCAGGCAGGGCTCCCACGCTGGTGAGCTGGGCCCCCGACCACCTCTGCCCCCACCCCAGGCGCAGTCAGCCCCAGCTGTGCTGGGAGTGGGGGGCAGGGCCCAGCCTGTGGCACCGCCCATCCCCAGCCTCCCCCCGCCACCTCAGAAAGCTCAGAGAGTCCTAAAAACCAGGAACCCAAAGAGGCCCCCCCGCCACCAAGACACATTATAATTAAATACAAATAATCTTAAAAGCAGCTAAAATCAGCAAGTTAGTTACTTACAAGGGAGCACCCATAAGATTGGCAGCTGATTTCTCAAAAGAAACTGTGCAGGACAAAAAGAGCTTGATACAAAATATTCAGTGATGAAAACCCAGGATCTAAACCAAGAACACTCTACCCACCCTGCAGCTCCCAGACTAGGGCTCAGCCAGAGCCTGAGGGGTCCAGCCATTCCAGGGCCCCCTGGCTTCCCTTGGGCCTTAGGCTGACTCCTCCCCAAGGTCACTGGGCAACGGGGCTGGAATTTGAACCTGGAGCGGGTCCCTGTGCCCTCCCTGCCCTACTGGGGCCTCCTCCCCTTCCGCTGCGTGACTGGGCACCGTGCTGGCCCTCCTTTTGTACCCGGAAAATAACCGCAGTAAAACCAAAGTGCAGCCTGGGCCCCGGGGCCCCGGGGTTGCGTGACCCCTGCCCCTGCCCCAGTCAGCTGGAGGGGAGCCTCAGCCCCACACGCAGTGGGCCTGCAGGTGCTCCCTCGCCCAGGCACCAATGCCTGCTCCCCGCTGGCCTTGATGTCCCCCCACAAGGAGCTGAAGGCCACCGGTTCCCAGCCTAGGCTCCGCAAGGGGAGGGGCCCCATGTCACAGCCTGTGTGTGTCTGTGTGTGCCCGCAGGGCTGGGTTTCCCCCAGGTGTGTGTGTACCTGGACACACGTGCCCAGCGCCTTTGGCTCAGCCGCCAGGAATCCCATTAAGCAAACACTCGGGCTCACCCACTGAGGTCATGAGCATTCCGGACATTCTCCACGCACAGGTGGACCGAGGAATCTGGCCAAGCCCTCACCCTGACCCTCCCCGGAAAGTCAGGCCCCTCAGTGGCAGGTGGGAGGGGGTGGCCTGAGGCCCCCCCAGGCCCCTCACACCTCCTGGGAGCCCTCCCTGCAGGTGGAGCCTGTTCAGACCGGAATATCCGGAGCCACTCCCTGCTCTGGTTGCCAGCACCCTTGGTTGTGAACCCTGACCCCTGACCCCTGACCCAGGGCAGACCCCAAACACCAAATTGCTTGCTGGCGACATTTGACAGGTGGACGGTGTGGGCCCAGAGATCCCTGTGGGGCGCAGAGCTCGCAGGACATGTCGGCCTGGCCCAGGGGTGCCAGGCTCCACTATGGCCCAGTCAAGGTTCCCCCGGGACTTCGCCCGGGCTCTGGCCCCAGGCCCCCGGCTCCAGCCTCGTCCTGTGTGGCCGCCCTCTCCCATCTCAGGGCCTTCGAATGTGCCACCCCCTCTACTTGAAGGCGCTTCTTCCCCCGACCCCCTTGCAGAGCCCCACCCCCGACAGCCTCTGGGAGTGGGACCCCTCTGCTGCCCCATCCTAGGAGGCCCTGTGGAGGACCGAGGGTGTGGGTGAGATGGAGCCGAGGTGTGGCCAGCTGTGACATAGGACAGGAGTGTGCTGGGGTGCCTGGGAACTTGGCCAGGCCTCAGGGCTGCAGCCCCTGGGTCTGGGTGGGGGAGGGGGAGACCCAGGCCTAAGGAGGTGTCAGCTCCACTGTCTGTCCACTCAGGTGTGGGCCAGGCACTGGGCCCTGGACCCAGGCCCCACGGATATCTGCCCTCCACCGCCAGCCACCAGCAAGGACACCATGAGCCAGTCTGTGAGCTGCTGCCCGGGAGCTGCCAAGTGAGCCCCCACCCCACCAGCTCGCCCCCCCACCCCCACCCCCGAGCAATCCCCAGGGAGGGGTGCAGCGTGGGCCCCACCCTCACCAGCCGCTCCCCGCAGTGGCAGCCTGGGCCGGGCTGACAGCGTGGCCAAGATGAGCGCCAAGGACCTGTTTGGTGAGTGAGGTTTGAGGAGGAAGGGTCTCGCCCCCCCAGAACTGTTCTGGGCCCCCACCAGGAGAGATGCAGGTCGGCCCTGGGCACCCAGGGGAGGCCCCTGGCCCCTACTCAACCTGGCTACTTGGGCCATCCCCAGAGCGCCAGCCAGCGGAGCGCCCGGTGCACGGGACGGGGCCACGGGGAGGGGAGAGGCCCCCTGCTGGCGGTTCGGGTGCACTGGTGTCAATGTCAGCACAGCCCCGCTGCTCGCTGCAACCCGACCCCAGGGGCCCAGTGCCAGGTGTCTGCTCCCCCAGCTCTGCCCCAGCCCCAGGCTCGCCAGCTCACTGTGCCTGTGGACAGGGTGCCAGTCCGGAAAGCAGGGGACCCCAAGGAGGGTGGGGATGTCAGCTGGCAGTTGGCAGGGTGGGGGGAAGCCAGCCACTCACTGCAGAGGGCGGGCCTGCACCCCCACCACGGCGGACCCCCAGTCGGTATGCCTCCTCAGGCTGAGTGGGCGTCCTGGGCACGGAAGGAGGTCTGCGTTCTGCTGGAGGCTTGAGGCCTTCCTGGTGGCCACAAGGGGCCACAGAGCAGCAGCCTTCACCTCCACTCAATCCTCCTGTGGCCCAGCCCGGGGCCCAGGCCCGCGGATGGGGGGCTGCGGGGCCCACCCTCAGGAGCAAATGACTGGCATGTCCCCATCCAGAACAGAGGAAGAAGTACTCCAACTCCAATGTCATCATGCACGAGACGTCCCAGTACCATGTCCAGGTGAGGCGGCCCCCAGGAGCACCCTCCCCACACAGCTCGCCGTACCCGGGGCGCCGGGCCCCCTGGGAGGGGCCCTGAGGTGCGGGGAGGAGTTGTCAGCCCAGGTCCTGACACCCGCAGCGGTCGGCCAGAGCCAGGGACTGCCCCACATGCACCTCCCTGGGGCTCCGCCACCTTGGGGGCCTCCTTCTGGTCCTGGGGAGCTCGCAGTCGTGGGGACACAGGGAACACAGGCCAAGGGACAGGAGGTACGGGTGGCCAACACAGGCCGGGAGTGGATAAGACCTGGGTGCTGCCTGGCGCCCTCAGATGGAGAGACCCAGTGGGGTGGAAACTGCCACCCTGGGCCCCAAACAAGGAGCTGGACCCCGAGGAAGAAGGTGGGACACAGGCTGCTTTCTCGGGCTCCTGCGGGGGAGGGCCTCGGGCCTCGGGCCTCGGGCCTCGGGCCGGCGCCGACCAATCCCAGGAGCCGAGCGCGGCAGCGGCCGGGCCAGCGGGCTGGGCAGGGCTTCCTCCTTCTTCCTTTCACGCTGGGGACTCGGGGAGGCTGTTTCCCAAATGACCTTCCTGCTCCTGGCAGCTGCTGCATTTCTGGTTCCTGGTCATTGTCCAAGCTTGCAGGACAACAGGGCTAGGAATGACAGAGGAGAGAGGAAGGTGGGGGACCCTGATCAGGAAAGTAGGGAGGCCCTGGACTAAGAACGGGGGACCCTGATCGGGAAGTTGGGGAGACCCTGCTCAGGGAGGTGGGGGGCCTGGACTAAGAAGGTGGGGGGCCTGCTCCAGGGAGGACCGGGGGCTCTGGATCAAGAAGACACGGACTTCTGCCCCCAGAGGTCAGGCAAACCCTGCTTCCCGAGCCTCGGTCTGCTCGTCCACACAGTCGGCCCACGGAGGCACGGGGAGGCCCTTAGGCTCTTGAACTGGGCTATGTCGGGTGACCAGCCCTCCCTGCCGGCCTGCGCAGGCGGAGGCCACTCTGTGCTGCCAGGCTGGTGACCGCTGCTGGCGCAGTGTCCAAGGTCAGGGCACAGACGGTGGATAGGCCAGCCTTGTCCCTTTCCTCAGGCAGCCCCGACACGTCTTTGGGGGGACTTTGCCTTCTTAATGAGGAACCACCTGTGCCACTGAGGCCTCCCCACCCTTCTCCTGGACTTTGGTCCAAACTGGCGTGGGAAGGGACCCCAGCCCACAGGCACCTCTTCAGCCGTCTCAGCAGCCAGCAAGGGTGTGTCCACGTCCCCAGCCAAGGGAACTGAGGCCCAGAGAGAGGGCGAGAAGCGGGGGCGAGAGCAGCCCCACCCTGGCGACGGGGGCCCCTGCGACCCTGGGGGGGCCACTGCGACCCCGGGGGGGCCATTGCGACCTCAGGGGGGGCACTGCGACCCCAGGGGCTTTCTTTTTTTCATTCTTTTTCTAAATTAGCACATTGGCGCTGTGGGCGGGGGTGTGCGGTTGTTATAGGTTTGTGTTGCCAGCACCACGAATGGAGCTGTTGGGGACACAGAGGAGCCCATCACCCCAAAACTGCCCACTGCTGACCCTGCGTGGTCGCGGCCTTGCCCCTGCCGCCTCGGGGTGTGCTGCCGCCCCGAGTCTTCTTGAGTGGAACCGTACAGCTTGTAACCACCCTCGCTCTGCTTCGGAGACTCATTCGAGGCAGCACGTGTGGAGCGAGACGCCTCGCACGCGAGGCTGTGGGGCCCCTCGGTGTGGCCCCACTTCTGTCCACACGCACAGGCACGCGCGCGGCCTGGACGGCGGGGTCCTGCTCCCACCGGCCAGGCGTGCGGGCCACAAGTGTCTTCTCCCAGTGTGGCTTGGCAGTCCATGTGCGCGGCTGTCTTTTGATGAGCGGAAGTATTTAATTTTGATGGCATCCGGCCATGTCCATTTTTCCATGTATATAGTTGGGGCTTTTCGCTGTTGTCATTGCTTGGCCCAGGGCTCTGAAGATCGATTCCTGTGTTTTCTTCTAGATGCTTTATAGTTTATAGTTGGTCCATTCTGAATTCATTTCGGGGTATGGCGTGAACTCAAGCCTGATTTCTTCCCCGTAGGGATGTGGGGATCTATTAAAAAGACGTTCTTTCCCCCATCAAATCGCTTTGGAGCCTTTGTGAGAATCCATCTCCCAGGCATGGTGGGTCTGCCCCTGGACTCCGTCTCACACGTTTTCACTCCCTGTAGCTTGATTGTCCATCTCGAAATCAGACGATGTGAGTCCCTCTACTGTGTTCTTTTTCTTCAAGAACGTTCCAGGCTATTCTCAGTTCTTTAGCCTTGAGTTTATATCATAGGATGGAACGGTCCAGTTCCACCCCAAGAAACGTCTGCTAGAATTTCCACTGGCACCGAGCCCAACCTGTGGGTGGGGTTCGGGCGTTGAGTCCCTCTGACCCCGCCCACGTGTCCCTGCCCCGCCCACGTGTGCCTGCCTCGGGCTCCCCCCGCTGTCTCTGAGGTGTTCTGGTTCTCACCCAGAATTCTTGCATCTTTTTTGTTGAAATGCTCCCTGGGCGTTCGGTTTTTATCTACTGTTACAAATAGTATCGTGGGGTTTCCTTTATTTCGTTTTCTCATTGTGTGTTGCTAGCCGGCAGAAAACAGTTGAGTTTCTGTAAAGTAGCCCAGTCCACCGTCCCGGCCGAACCCTTTGTTCTGGGGATTGGCTTGGGGGGTTGATTGGACCTTCTGGGTACACACTCACATTGTCCGAAAAGAAAGATGGTAGTTAATTTCTTATTTTAGCCACTTTCTTTTTCTTGCTGGACACCCCAGGCCAGGACCACCCACAGGATGCTAAGTAGAATCCTTGCCTCACGCCCAGTCTTAGAAGAGGCTCAGCATTTCCCGTTTGCCACGCTGCCTGTTTTCACAGACCCCTCCCATTCTCCGGGGGCTGAGACTTTTTATCATGAAGGGTGTTGGGTGTCACTAAATGCTTTTTCTGAATCACTCCAATCGAATAGTAAATCAACATTGCATTTCTGAGTTAAACCTCACTTATTCACGGTGTAGCATCCTTTTTATGAGCTGACAGACTAATTTGCTAACATTTTGTTAAGGATTTTTTTTTCCCACGTTACTGTTTAGCAGAGATATCGGTCTCTAATTTTGTTTTCCTATGATGCCCTTGGCAAGTTTTGATGTCAGAGTTATGTCAGCCTTATAAAAAGAGTGAGGAAGTGTCTGTCCTCTGTTTTCAGAAGGAGTTTATGAAAGATTGTTATTACTTCTTCCTAAGTATTTGTTAGGGTTTCTCTGGGAGGCCTTCTGTGGACAGGCTTTTCTTGGTGGGAAGGTTTTTGATTATGAATTTACGTTCAGGCCTGTGAGATCTGTAGTGATGTCCCCTCTGTCCTCCTGGTTATTGATAAATTGTGTTTTCTCTACTTTTTTTTCTTGACCCGTCTTGTTAGGGGATTTATTAATCTACTTAATCCTTCAGAACCAACTTTGGGCTTTGATTTTTCCCCGTTGTCTCTGTTTACTAGTTCGTTGGTTTCTGCTTTTAATTTCCTTTCTTCCACTTTCTTTGGGCTTTGTCTTTTTATAGTTTCTGAAGGAGAATGCTTACATCATTGATATTAAGTCTTCCTTCTTTCTTGAGATTCATTTAAATCTGTAAAGTTCCTTCCAGTAACTACTTGACCTATACCCCACAAGCTCTGATGTGCATGTTTTTATTATTGTTCAGTTCAGAATACAGTTGACCTTTGAACAACACAGAGTTGAACTGCACAGGTCCACTCATACCTGGATTTTTTCAATAAGTATGCACAGTAGTGTGAATGTATTTTCCCTTCCTTATGATTTCCTTAATAACATTTTCTTTTCTCAGACTTACTTAATTGTAAGAATACAACATATAACACATACGACATACAAAATGTGTGTTAGTTAACTGCTTCTATTATCAGTAAGGCTACTGGTCAATAGTAGGCCATTAGTAGTTCAGGGGGAAGTTAAAAGTTATGCTTGGATTTTCGACTGTGCAGCGGGGGTCGGTGCCCCTGACTCCCACTGCACAAGGGTCAACTGTACTTTCTAATTTGCCTTGTGATTTCCTCTTTGACCCATGGGTTATTTAGAAATTTTTTTTTTCATGTAGGCATTTGCGGCTATAAATTTGCCCCTTAGCACTGCTTTGGCTGTGCCCACAAGTCCTGGTTGATTGTGTTTCCATTTTTCTTCATCTCTAAGAATTTAGTTATTTCTCTTCTGACTTTTTTCATTCATTGGTTGTTTAAAAGTGTGTCATTTAATTTCCTAAAGTTTGGATCCATGAGTTATTTAGAAGTGTGTTGCTTAATTTCCAATTATTTGGGCGTTTTCTAGTTATCTCTTTGTTATTGGTTTCTAATTTCATTCTGTGATGGTCAGAGAACCTGCATGATTTCAATCGTTTGAAATTGACTGACTTGTTTTGGGCCCAGCAGCATAGGTTTGTTTGGTTTGGCTGTGTTGCATTTTGCTAACAACGTGCTTTGGGTTTTACCCTGCTTTATATCCCGCTGTGTGTTTCTGCCTGTTTACCTCTCTAACTTGTTGATGGACACGTAAGTTGGGTCCAGCCTTTGTTATCGCTACGTTTCTGCAGTGAGCAGACTTTTACCTGTGCCGTGTTTGGCACATGTATAGGGACCCACCGCAGAACTATGAGAGGAAAGTGTGTGCACCTTTGCACGTATCTCGGCCTCTCCCCAGAGCGCCGGGCGAATGGAATGACGGCTCCTGTTCCTTCACAGCTTAACACAAGGACTTGTTAGTACTGGTCAGCAGACTAGGTAGCAAATTCAGTGGTTTATTTATTCCTAAAGTAATGGTCTCAGAGTTTCAACTTACAAATCTTGCACACAATTTTCTGTATTCAGAAGTTACTTGAATTTATTTTCCTGAAGACTCTCTGTTCATATCTTTTGCCCGTTTTGCTATTGGGGTGTTAATCTTTACTTATATAATCATTTACTTAGTTATTATTGGTATCCTTAATTATTATATTTAACAAAACAGAGCTTTTAAAAAAAGCTAAGAACCGTAGTTGTGATGCATATTGGTCTTTTAATGTATTGAGAAAATTACCATACCTATTATATGTATATTTTCTCCTATCTTTTTTTTTTTTTTACTTCGTATATGGTATTTTCCCCCCAGGAAGAAATATTTATATTTTTATTAAGTCAG